AGCGTGCACAACACGGGCTCATCCCCTGCCGCCGACACACCGCACAGCTGTCGCCTGTCAGAGAGAAGGGGAGCCGCGTGTGAGGCGCGAGGGGACTCGGCACTGTCTGCGCGATCTTTCCGTGCAGTGAGAAGTGTTCCAAAACAAGGGAGTTCATTCTTCAAAAGCAAACAAACATTGGTTCCTTTGCCTCACCTGGCCCACGCCCCAAATCCAAAGAGTAGGTGGGGAAGTCAGGGAGGAAAAGCCCCGGGGGGCACCCCTGGCCTCCAAGGTGGGCCTGCTGTCCCACCTCGTGGACAAGACCAGCTGAACGCGGGCGGAAAATGCTGCCGGCGGTCATCTCCGCCTCTGGTGCAGGAGTGGAGGGGTCCTGAGGCGGGGCTCTTTGTCCTGCCCCTGAGCAGGGAGAGATGGAGCTCTCCCGGCAAAGCCCAGAGGGGTCACCGCAGTCCCAGCCGCCGACCAGGAGGAAGAACCGTGGACACGGTGGCTCTCGGGGCTGCAGCCCCATCGCTGGTGTGACACCCTGGCGTGGGAAGGTCACGCCACAGCCAGCGATGCTGACCGACCACCGTGGACACAGGCCTCCCCGTCGTGCCCAAGCAGCTAGAACCGCCTGCAGCCTCCCGGCCATGCTCCGCAGGAGACCCCGTTCCTCCGCCGCGCTTCCCGCAGGCGCTGCTGGGCTTCGGCCCCGGCGTCGCGCCGCCTGAGCAGGTCTCACTGGTCGTCGGTGGCTCTTCACCCGGGCCGCTGGAAAATTGAATTATTTAATAATAAATATGCATACAGTACCACCCATGTGCCAGGCACTGTTTTAAGCACGTGGCAAATATGAACCGATCTCACCCTCACGACTGCCCCACGAGGCAGGTAGGATTGTTGCCATCCTCAGTCACTGAGAGGGGAGGGGAGGGGAGGCCTGGGCGTGCTAAGTGTCTCGCCCAAGGTCACACCACGAGTGGGTGGGGCCACACTTGAATCTGACCGGTCAGACCCAGAGTCCTTGCATATAACCAGTGAGCTGTGCCATCACTGACTAGAGCTCCGCCATCTAGCTCACAAAGACACACAAGAAGGGGTATGGAGGGGGGGATGGGCTTCCACTCAGAACCGTCCCCCACCTCCCACTTTCTTAGGAAGAGGACACAGCAAACCCCTCCCCCAGGGCCACCTGTGTCGGCTCTCCCGTGGTGGCTGCAAACCACGTGGTCTTCTGCACACCTGCTAGCAGACAGCTGCTCCTGGATTAATGCTGCCCGACACCTGCTCGTTAGAAGAAACGAAACCTAATTACTTGGCTTTGTGCTCCTGGCACTTACCCGCAAAACCAAGGTTAGACCCCGAAGCAGGAGTCTTTCTTGGGACAGTAGTTAAAGATCATACCTGTTCCGACGTGGCTTTGAAACCTCAGACTGGGACTAATTTCTTTTTTCGCTGTCCTTGGAAAGTCTCCTGTGACCTTTCCCCTAGATAAAAGACATTAGCAGAGGTGTTGTTGAAACAAACTTCCAAATCATGTCGCCAGGTACCGAATTCTTCGGACCGTGAGATGCACCGGACCATACGACACACCTAGGTTTCAGAGGAGGAAAATAGGAAAACAATTTTGAAGCAAAAACTGTGATAAACTATTCAATAACATAAATAGCATAGGCTGCCCCCTCCCCCCCCCCCCCCCGCCCCACAGTGAGCCAGGTAAGCTACTTTCGGACTATGAGACACACCCCCCATTTTCCTCCCGAATTTGGGGAGAACAAAGTGCGTCTTATAGTCCAAACAATACGGGTAAGCAGGTGTCCCAGACCACTGCAGGCAAGCCACCCGGCGGTCACGTTCAAATGCAGATTCCGATTCGGTGGCCCTGGGGTTGGACTGGAGCTTCTGCATTTCCAGCGAGCCCCCCAGGGACGCGGATGCTGCTGCTGTCCCGCGGACCGACCACACCCCGAGCGGCAGCACCCGTCTCCCTCCCGGGGGAGGCAGCGCGCCGGCAGAGGGAAACATCCGGCAAAGGACGTTCAGTCCCAGGTTTTCTCCTCTCCTGAGTCGTGTTGCAAATCACGATTGTATTTTACATGGCTGGTGGCCGAAGTGAGGGGTCGTCTTGACTGAACACTAGTTGAGTGCAGTAAATGCGAGTTTGCATTTACACGGTCAGTGTGCACCCCGTCCTCAAGCTTTGGGTGTGGTGAGTGAGCACGGTGCCAGGGGGACCCCGCCATCGGGGAGGCTCTGGTCCAGAAACCCGCCCTAGAGGGGTGAGGTCTGGAGCCTGCTTAGTAATGAAAAGGGGACTCGCTGTTGAGGGGGGGCGGCGAGGGGGGGCTGACAGGCACTGAGGAACAGTTCTGGGCCAGGCACTCTCATCCGGGTTAGCGCTTTCATTTTCTGCAGCAGTCAGTGGTCGTGGGGCGGGGCTGGGGGGATGTTGGAATTTACACACATACGAGAACACATCTACTCTGCCCTCTGTGCCGTCCGCCTTTGCCGGTTTTGATCTGAGCCCCTTCTGTGTAGCAAACCACACCCCTGAGCGCATCAGCTTTTCCGAGTTCTGTCTGTCCTTCTAGCAAACCGTGGCCACTGGGGTGGTCTTGAGGGCTCCCGATGACACTCTAAGAAGAATTTACCACCACCATGGATGACCAATGTGAGTGGGGTGGGTGGGGAAGACCTCAGTTTGGTTCATTTCAGTATTTATTGAGCACCTACTACACGCCAGGCACCACTAATTGCTGGGAGATGAAGATGAGTGACAATCCCTGTCCTTCCGGACGGCCCAGTTCCTGAGGTGGTCCCCAGGAAGTGCTAAGTGCCACAAGAGGGAGACACAGCCAGGCGCCATGGGGCTGGGAGAACAGCACTTGGCAGGATGCACAATCAGGCTAGGAGGGCTTCCTGCAGGAGGTGTCCCTCCATGGGCCACCCCAGTATTCGGGGGACTTGGTCACAGTTCCTGGAGCTGCCTTCCTCCAATTGTTTACCAGCTCTCACGGTGCGGATTTTGGGGTCTGGAGGCATCGGCGCCGAGCTGAGGTAGGGCAGGTGTGTTAAAGCCAGCAGACAGCACAATTCGTCACAGACACAGACATCAAGTTGTGTTTTGTTGGGGAAAGAACCAGCCTGTCCACCACCTCTCTGTGGCTCGGCCCCGGCTGTCCACGGGGTGCGCAGGCGCGGGGCCCAGGTAGCTGCTGGCCCCCACACCCAGCTCTGCAGCACACATTCACAGGGCCTGGGGGGGGCAGCAGCCCCGCCCTCCGCACCCCGCACCCCCGCCCTCTGCACCCCCCACCCCCCCCCGCCCCCACCCAGGCTGGTGGGTGGGAGGTCTCCATCCCACCTGCTGAAAGGCTGTGCTCGTTTCTCCAGGTCAGTTGGGGTTCCCAGTCTTTCTCTTTCCAGGGACATCACGACCGAGGAGGGGAGGGGACCCTGAGGATTCTGCTTCCCTGTGTCTTCAAGTTCTTCTCCATCGCCCATTCTACAACGGCACTTACCTTTGACCTGCACTTACTTTTAAGACATTTTATTGTTTATTTCCATTGCTTCTGGCATGCTTCCTTTAAAAAAAAAATGCTACTGCTTGTATTCGTGTCCCTGCTGCGGGCTAACTCCAGGCGGGACTTCCAGTACGATCGATGGCCGACACGGCAGGAGTCTTTCGAGGGAGGCTCCCGGCCGTGGGGACATTGGTGTCCTGATCATACACATGTCCACTTGCCTGCTCTTTACAGGGACCACAGGGCTGTGGCAACACCCCCCTCACTCAGGGATGCGTGCTGTCCCCCAGGTGTCCCGCCGCACACGGACATTCCTCCTCTGCCTGCCCGGCCTCGACGCCCCTTCCTAAGTCTGGGGAACTGTCTGCTCTGTGAACTTGGTGGCGGGCAGAGCTCACCACCCAGCAGAGAAGCTGAAGACTCTCGGCCTGTTTTCCCATCGCCCCTGGGCGGGGCGCCACCTGGGACTCGGAGAGCAGCGGGGACCTGGGGTTCATCCCGGCGAAGGCGGCCGCGGAGCCAACACACGGTCTCCAGGCCGGCGCAGTGTCCGGGGCCCAGACTGCACTGCGTGTGAGACCAACCCCTGGGTGATCGTTTCTCCTCGCCTGTGCTGCGAGCTTCCGGAACCGCGTGTCGTCAGGACATCGCTTTTCCTTGGAGCTGCCAGCTCCTCTTCCTTAAAACAACAGATGCTGGCTGACACACACCACCCTTCGAAAAGCACACGCCTCCCACCACCCTCCCTTCCTCCCTCGCTGCCCCACCCAGCCCTGAGCCAGAAGCTTTTCAAAGGGGTGTGGGTGGCCTTGGCCAGGTGGCTCGGTTGGGTGGAGCTTCATCCCATACACCAAAAGGCTGTGGATTCGATCCCCAATCAGGGCACATACCTGGGTTGAGGTTTGATCCCTGGTCAGGGTGTCAACAGGGGGTAACTGATCAATGTTTCTTTCTCACATCAATGTTTCTCTTTCCCCCTTCCTCTCTAAAACTAATAAACATATCCTCGGCTGAGGATGGATGGATGGATAGATAGATGGATAGATAGATGGATAGATAGGTGGCACGTGGGTGGGAAGGAACTCTGTGATTCTAAGTTAGGGCCAGAGAAGGCAAAGATGTGAGAGAGATTTCTCTCCTTGTTGATAGCAAGGAAACAGGTTGAGGGGTTAGAATGTAGCCAGTAATCCCAGCATCTCCTAAAGTCTCTAAAAAAAGGGGATCGCTGTCAGCAACGGGAGAAACACAGCGGTCCCTCCCTTCTTTTCTGGGTGCCTCCCCATCGTCTCCTCGCCCAGCTGTGAAAGCATGTACCGTTGGCTTACACGTGCTTGAGATGGTCACTGTCTATGCCCTTCGAGATTAGAGTTTTCGGCCTGCTGTCTACGTAAGAGTGATTCTATTTTTTTTTATACAACACCTGAGAGGGAAACATCGTCCTCTCTCAGCTACAGCAGGGCCTCCCCCGCTTCCCCAAGCAGACACCATCGCTTAAAACACACAACATGATCTTCTTTATTTAATTGTTTAATCAGTTTACATTCCACAACTGACAGGTTATTTATTTTTATTTTTTTTCCATGAACAAGTCATTTAATTAATTACCAGACACCTTTTTTTTCTTCGATCGATGGAAATACAATATTTCTGCCAATTTGAAAAAGAAAATTGCACGATGCAGTCAGTGTCAGTGAAGTCCCCAGATGCTCTCTGCTTCCTCAGTCCTCTCAAAGTCCCAGGAACCTGGCAATTTCCCTTTTCATCCCCCCTCCCACTTCCCCGTGAAATTCACCTCTCAGAATAGCACAATAGTTTCAAGATCTGGTTTGGATCACCTTTCGTGTAATTAATTAATTATGAGAAGGAACAGACAGTACAGTAGATCTGATAAGATGTAGCATTCTTATTAAGATTAAACAACACATTTATTCACATCGTATCAGAACACATTAACATAATATTTAATCTTATTGTAGCACCAATAACCACAGGAATTGCTACCTCCCAGGGCAGAGGCGTGTTGGAATCCTGCAGTACACGCCGCTCTTTGACCAATCAGAAAGCACTATGCAAATCAAAGGTAAATAAATTCATATTGACTGAGCAATAATCTGGTGGACCATAAACACGCCAGGTGTTGGAGAGTTTTGTCGGCTATGGTCCCTGTCTAATGACCACATATAAAACATACCAAATCGGCTCATTTTCTTGCACTCAGAAACAAGGCTCAGAATGTTATACTGTATTTCAAATGTGTTGAACCTTGTCATATTGGCTCTTTGAAAGGCTTTGAGAATGAGGGGTCGCTTGCTTGCATTTTATTCTGTTCTCTGCACTATGATCTTGCAATTTGTCTTTTCTCTTCCCGAACAAAAGAGGTTTCTCTAAATGTAAGGAAGGTCCCAGACAGGGAGGAGATAGGCAATGGTGGACCGAGTACCAGGGCAAAGGACAGAGCTTGTCACTGCCACCTCTCAGGAGACCCAGTTTGCCTGCGGCCGCTGCTCCTCCCAGCATATCCCCTTCTAGCATTTGACTCTAAGACACAGATTTAAGGAAATTGAGTGCTGAGCAAATAGCTCCAAATATTGGTGAGATGTTATTAGCGGGTGACTGGAACAGATGACAGAAGGTGGTGACAATCTTTATTCTTGACGAGGAAAACCCTGCCTGCCCCGCCCCCCAGGCCACACACCCATCACTTGTGTAAGACAATTGGGCCTGGATAAGGGATAAGCTCATGCTCCTGTAGCAGGAGAAAGTGACCTGCTTTGGCCTCTAGGATCTCCACAGGTCACTGGGGCTATGCCCAGGGGCAGTGCTGATACCCCTCTGGGGCGGTTGTGACATGTACTTGATAAGCATTGGTCTTCTCTAGCTCAGCAAGTAGGGCAAGACATGACAGCAGCCTGGACACGGCTCCTACCCCTTCTCCTCTGGGCTAACCCTGACCTCTAGCCTCTGTTGGATGTCAGAGCTGAGGGACTCCCAGGTGAGAAGAATCCCCTTCTGTCTTGCGACAGAGTCCCAGCCTTCGCTGTCCTATACAAGAGCCAGTAGCCACATGGGGTTATTGAGCCCTGGAAATGTGGCCGATCCAAACTGAGATATTTTCTAAGAATAAAATGTGCATCGGATTTTGAAGGCTTTCTTCAAAGAAAAAAAAAAACATATCCTACTCGGTAATTTTTTATATTGATTCCCTGTTAAAATAACAATAGCTTTTCACATGTTGGGTTGAAATCTGTGTTAAAATGAATTTTGCCTGTTTCTCTGGACTTCGAAAAATGGGGCTCCTATTTTTATCTCTACCTTGACTGATATGTAAAATTGCATTTGTGGCTCTTGTGATATCTCTGTTGGACAGCACTGGTTTAAACTGCCTTCCTTGCTCCGAAGGGTGTGGCTCAGTGGACTGGGTGCCAGCCTGCGAACCGAGAGGTCACCGGTTCCATTCCCCGTCAGGGCACATGGCTGGGTTGCAGGTCAGGTCCCCAGTTGGGGGCGCTCGAGAGGTATCTCTTGCACATTGCTGTTTCTCACCCTTTCTCTCTCCCTTCCTTCCCGTCTCTCTAAAATAAATAAATACGATCTTTAAATTGCTTCCCTTGCCCCAGAGATGACCCAGGCGGACCATCAGAGAAGAGGCAGGGTTGGAAAGAAGGTGCCACGGAAGGGGAGGGGCCAGGTCCCCGGCCGAGCCCAGTGTGAACACCCCTCCCGGGGCAGCTGGTCTTCCAGGCCCAGGGGGAGACCGCTCTTTAGGTTCTAAGATCACCGCTCGGCTCCTCTTTCCCACTTCCTCTTATTTCAGGGTGCCCTGCCTTTGGGGGCTCCTTCTCTGTCACCACACTGAGGATGCTCTGCGATCCTGGCATTTTCCCTTTAAAAGGGTCCTGTATCTTAATGCCACCTCTGCCGCCCACTGCCTCAGCCCCGCCGCCCGCCGGGGATGTCTTCCCTCTGATCCGGCCACATCCCTCAGCCAGACTCCCCGCTCGGGGCGCCGCCTGCCGGGTCTGTGCGGGGAGCCATAGGTCACAGAGAGCTTCACATGCCATCACGCCCTGTGACGACAGTGCTTCTCCTGCCCCGGCTCAGCCCAGCCCTGTCAGCAGCAACAGTGGAGTGAGATCGTCAAAGAGGGGCTGGGGGAAGGCATCTGAGGATGACAGGCAGATCGAAGGCTTTGGACTCCGCGCCCAAGCCGGCCGGGAGCTCGAGGCTGCTTTCTGAGGACGGGAGGGAGGCGGGCGAGACCAGCAGGGAGGGACCCTCCCGATGCACCTCCGGGACGTGAGCACGCCCCAGCGTGGGCTCCCAGCCGCTCTAGAAATAGCAGCAGAATGGCCAAGGAGCCCCCTGCCCCCGCTTGGCTGGGAGGACACGGAGGCATGGTGAGGTAACAAGGCGTCCCTGAGGCGGCGAGCAAGCCAGTGACAGAGCTGCCCGTGCGACCCCAGGGTCAGGTCTCTGCGCTGACCTTCGCGATCACCTGTACCTTTTGGACTCTGATGACTTGCTTTCGCTTTTTGGAAAAGGATATTGTACTTGAAAGGCAAACAGAGAGCTCCAAGCACACACTAGTGACTGTCAGAGGAACAACCGGACAACTGTCCTATGCCCATGGCTTCTGTCCTCCCAGGTCCCCCCCAGTCAGGCCTGGGGGCAGTCCTCCGAAAACTGAGGGCCACATCTGTGCATTCCTTTAGTCCAAGTCCCTCCCCCTGGCGTTCGGTTTCCACTTCTATTTGTACATTTTTACAGGGAGTCTGGAACAGCAACACGGTCACACCAGAGGCGGGAACGGAGGGTGAGTCCGTGGAAACACTCTCCGGGAAAGGCATCGTCGCACTCACACAGACACCCGACACGTCCGGGCTGGAAAGGGCCTGCAGGTGCCCGGGGGGGAAGGGAGAGGCTGACCCAGAGGGAGAGATGGGAGGCAGGAGAGGACAGAGGGACAGAGGGACAGAGAACTCCCCAAGGAGGGACAGCCAGTCCCCGGAAATGCAAGAGGAGGGGTTGCGATCGCTGAGGTTAGCGTGTGTCAAAGAGCGGCCGGGTGTGAGCTTCCGCTGCGCAGCCTCCAAGCTCACCCCCAGGTTTCTCACCCTCCACAGTGAGCAAGCACCCCTTCAGGGGGGTTGCTCCCCTGTTCCTTAGGGAAGCTCTCACCGTAACACCAAAGCCCGCTCGCCTGCAGAGCAGAAAGTGTGCAGGCCCTGCTGAAGTGGATTCCTCCCTTGCGTAGACCCTAGGGGTCCGTCTTCCCCAGCAGGGTCACACCCAGAACCCGTCCCCGTGAATACTCCATCGGAAGGAATTCCTAAAAGAACCCACACTCTTCTGATGACGCCATTAGCTGCACCTACCAAGGAAAGGTCCCAGTTCCTTGGAACGTGTTCCCATCTTAAACCGAATGGACCACGGACATGTTTCAGAATCTGATCTTCTCCCACCACTTGGGCCTGTGCAGCGAGATGTAATGTTAGGAGGACGGTAAAGAAAACACTAAGGCACTGACCACGTGCCTTGGTTTGTACAGTCAACTTTTCTCACTAATGTATGTGATCTGTCCCATAGGGTTGACTCATTCCATCACCTGCGGGAATCAGCAAGAGGCAGTAAGAGCGCCCTTCGCAAAACTGGCTTTGGACAAAAGGAATGAAGCCTGGGACTGACTCAGTCAGGGAGCCAGCTTCGTGGAGGGACCTGAATGATGAGATAACATCCCTAGACCCGCGGCCAGGATGACCGGCCGATCCCTCCGGGCCAGCCTCTCCGCCGTCCGTGGGGACGTGGCTGCGGCAGGGTAATCTGAACGGTGCACAATTTATGTGGCACTTCGTGCTTGCAAATCACTTTGCCATTTCCTTGTCACCCTTCGTATACCATGAGGTAAAGTGTTAGCACTCTCCTCACTGCGTGGATGAGGAAGTTCAAGTACGGAGAAGACACAGTGCCCAGAGCTGCAGATCATGGTGGTGCTGAGCGAAAGGAGGTTTACGGGGACTGGGTTGTACAAGGGTGGCCAGATTATTGAGTTGCTGCAGCTTCAGAGCTCTTGCACCTACAATTGGATAGAGAGGGCATGCAAAAAAAAGGAAAGGAAAGGAAAGGAAAGGAAAGGAAAGGAAAGGAAAGGAAAGGAAAGAAAAGAGAAAAAAAGAAAAGCCCAAAGTAGGAAACTTTTAGCTCTGTTCCAAGACTGCTGCTACATTCGGCACTGAGCTTTTTCAACGGCCTCTTTGCTCTCTTTGAGGGCAGAGCCCCGGGCTCTTGCTGCCAAGAACACAGACAAGGTCAACTCCACACGGAGAGGTCACTGTGGTTCTGCGACCTGGGCCGCCCTCCTAGCCCCGACTTCCAAACCAGAGACCACAACTGACCGGGAAACGCTGGGGCCAGGACCCTGGGATGCCTCAGAGTGATGGAAGGATGAACGATCTTAGTCATTCTTGTATTTTATTTTTCCAATTCTCTATAATGAGCCTATATTATTTTGGAAAAAAAAATCAAGTAGCCAATAGCAGCGTAGTCTAAGAACTCACGGTAATGTCAAAGAAGCATTTTTGCACCAGGGCGGCACCCACAGGAAGGGGGCAAGCACAGCCCTCCACGCTGGCCGCTCAGAAGAGACACCGGAATCTCTCGTGTCTGTCAGCTCAGGGGGGTTTGTTTCAATGTCTGTCCCCTGACTAATTAATTCATTATATACCAGCTGGAAGACAGGCCAGAAGCCAGCCTGGCTGGCGTGCACCAAATGTTTTTACCTGTGATGAAATCACCTCTGGAGATGACTTGTGTTTCCCTGGAAAGGGCTGCACGCGCCCACCGGGACGGGTGGGCTCTGGGGCAGAGGGAGCACGGACGGAGGAGAGCTGGCCTCACCTCCGTTCTAAGGACCGGGCGGACACCCGACGGAAACGCTACCGAAGATGGCCAGAGGGTATTTCTTCCCATTCCTTCTCCCCACATACTCGAAAGCCAGTGAACGAGTGCTTTCAGAACCAGCCAGGTGAAGACAGAGGCAACTCCAGCTGTCTCTGGGTGATGTACTCGATCTCGTTACTCTGGCCCTGACTCTTCGGAGACCAAGCGGCGTGTCTTCTTGCTAACTCAGCACAAGCACAGGTGACGACTGTGGGTACATGTTAATATGCAGGGCCCAGTCTCGGGGTCTCGGGACACCTTCTTCCCTTGTCCCCAGCAACAGCACACACCAGCACGGCACCGGGCCCGAGGTGCTGTTACGGACGTGCGGTCTGGGATGGGTGGAGTTGTCAAGCCTTCATGACTTCCTGGTCCCTGAAGCTGAAAGGCTGGGGGTTGCAGAAAGGTTGCAGCTGGAACAGGCACATTTTTTTTAATATCTTGATACCCAGGAGCCACAGACCTGCTTATAAAACCTACGGCCACACCAAACAAGGAAGGGGCTGCCTCTCAAACAAGGAGTGCACCAGCCTCTAGAGACAAATTCTGTAACGATTTTAACGGACCGACGTTGACACAGAAGGAAAGTGGACAAGAGATGGGAAGGAAAGAGAAGAAACCCTAATTCCCCAAATGGGGAGAGAGAGAAACAGGACCTCTTTCTAGGCAGATGCCCTACTCGCCTGAATCCTCAATCTCACAGACAAGGAAGGAAACAAAAGCTCAAGGGGCCCCTAGGCACGGAGCTCAAAACACACACACAAGGTCACAGATCTTGCATGTACACCTGCAAGGAATTTGAACTCGAGCTGGCCTCAGTGAGGTGAAGTTGCTGACCCTAAATCCCTCAGAGGATTGGGTTCTACTCTGATGTCAAGTTAGCAGAACCCAACTTATAGAGTCTTTCGGTCAAGGTCCCCCCCCTTCTTCCTTGTCTTATTCCTCAGCCACCTCACACCACGAACCTTTAGCAACTGCTTGGACCAGGAAGCTTTGATCTGACCTCCAGCTCCCAGGCTGGAGGGATCAAGGTCACCTGGGGAGTTGCCCATTGGTCAGGACTTGCCATGCATAAGGGCTTCCATCCCGGTCACGCCGCTGGGCACTTTCTGGACTCCAAGCAGGACCGGACCCCACAGAGTGTGTGTGTGTATGCGCCTGCGTGGACCTGTCTGGCCCCATTCCCCGGAAAAGGCGGCTCAGAGCGTCTACCCAGCGGATGGTGACTGGGCCCCTGATGGTTTGCTTCTCTCCCAAGAGTCCTCCTGACAACTTCAGGGAGGTTTCGAAGGGACGCGGTAAGCTGCGTCAATGCCTGTCACACAGATTAGCACTTGGAGAGCGTGGACGACCCGTCTAGGGCGAGCGTGGCACAGAAACAAGAGGGTGTAAATAGGGAGAGGTCTGCGAGGGGGGATCCTCACACATGCGGTCACTGAACTTTAAAGGGTTGACAGCAAATGGCCCCATTTAGGATTCCTTCCCCACTTTCCTGCAACTGCAAAACAGCTGGAATGCGGGCCCGGCCACACACCAGCCCTCTGCCCCTAGAGCACCCTCCTGGACCCCCGCCTCTCTCTGCTCAGCGGAACCCATTCAGGACACTGGCAAGGAAGACGAGGCCTCTCCATCTGAGATACTTCTCACTTATCCTCAAGCCCAAGTACGCCGCCTTCGCCTTCAGAGGGAAATCTAACTTTTTAAAAACACAATTCCCCGTACAATTGAAAACTGGATGTTCCTGAAAATGACTTCCCTTCTTATAGACTAGAGCCTCTGTTTTACAAAGATCCTTAGAAGCTAAGTTGGAAGCTAGCGGCATTTCCTGCCTGTACCCCTCCCCCTCAGCACCCCGCATGCCCGTACCCAGGGCACGCACTCACACGCGAGACCTCCTGCAGAAGCTGGCAAGCGCCGCTGGCCAGGAAGCCTTGAAGAGGACACCCAACACCTGCGCCCAGGTACGTATGGGCGAACACACGCAAACTGAACCGGAGGTGTCCGCACACACAGAGACCCACACTCAGGCCCACCGTGCACACCGGGTGTCCTGTCCCATGGGAGTCGCGCGCAGTCAGAAGGGCAGAGGAGGACACAGGCAGGACGCACGGCCTGGCGCAGGGAGCGGCAGAGGCCCAGCGGTTAGTGGGTGAGAAGAGGAGGTGGGCCCTGGAGGCGGAGCTAGGAAAGACAGGGCGCCGGCGGGAGGGGAGGCTGCTGAGAGGTTGGTGGGCAAAGTTTCCAAAGCGCATTCATTTCTGAAGCAACTGAATTCTCGGCTCTAGAGCTCGGGGACTCTCTCCTGCCTCTGCGGGGCGGCTCGGCCCCAGCAGGGTCACCGAGGTGGCCCTCCGCTGCCCCTGCCCCTACAGCCTCCACGCCTCGCTGGCCGCCTCTGCAGCTCCATCGCCCGCAGTGTGCCGGTGTGCGCGAAGGAGCCGGAGGCTCAGGGCTGCACTGGCACCACCTCCATCTGGGGGCTGGCCTCTGGGACGGCTCTTTTGGGGTTCCTGGCTTTGACTATCGAGAGGGAAGGAGGAGGAGGAGGAGGAGGGGAAACGTCGAGAGTTCTCCATTAATTTACATCATATCATACAAACGTGGGCCCAGGGGACACGGAGGTGCGCTCTCTGCACGTGACCCATTTTCTTTCCTCTGCACGGACGTGGCCTCTAGGGAAGGGGTGGATGTCCAGTGACGAAGGGCCGCCTCCAGGATGGGGAGGAAAAGGTCTCGTTGGGGGCACAGACTCGTACGACCACAGCAGGGGCCACTTCTGTCCCCCTCCTGAACCGTGTCCCCGCTGTTCGCGCACGGCTCGTGGGCCCAGCTGCGTCGAGGACTTCTGCAAGGAGAGGGTTTAAATCCCGTGCTGCACCCCGCACTGTCCTGTGAAGAACCAACGGGGTCCTCTGCCCAGCGGGTTTGTTCTCGGCTCTGCCCTCTGGGAATTTCAGCTGCACTAAAAATAACAGAAAAATGCAACACAAACGGTAAAACCTACACTCAGGAAACATCCGCCACACGCACACACGCTGGGGATCAGAAGCTGCAGAACTGGCACCCACGTGGGCCTGCCCCTCATTATTCCTCCTGGTGTCAGGGCCTCGGAGCTGGGCCCTGAAACCGCCCCGGTGGGGAGAGAGACAGCAGGCATAATGCAGTGTTTCCATTTTAAAAGGTGAAAAGGAAAAAAGGAAGCCACCGGAAATAGTTACACACACACACACACACACACACACACACACACACACACACACACACGACAGCATCACTCCAAGGCTCCGGTCTGCCCAGGGAGTGCAGGTGGGGCGAGGGGAGGGCAGCCTCTTGTCTAACTGGGTGTAAGGCAGCTGGACGGTAAGACTGGGTTTTCTGAGCATCCGCCGAAGCGTCCTTTCATTGACGCGGACCTCGCCTCTCAGCAGGTTGTTCTCGCCCCCTCTCCACCTCCTGAGCTTTGTCCAAAAGTTTGATGGCTACGAGGAAACTTCCTTCTCGCTTTGTTTCCCCCTCCGTTTCTTGCGCGCGGCTGGGGCGCCAGGAAGGAAACCGGAAGGGGAGGAGCCCGAGGAGGGGAGGCTCCGCCCCCGACTCCGTTCGGTGAATGACAGCTCTGCTTCTCCGCCACGTGGCTGGTGCCGGGGTGACGGCCCAGGGGGTGGCCCTTCCGACTCCCCCTCGGTGCGCTGCAGCCCGCTGGCCGGTCCCTTCCCAGCCCGCCGCCCCGTCCTCGTGCGTGACGGGGACCGGGAGGCTGTTGTGAGCGGGGCGTTCACTGCGTCTTCAGGGAACCATGGAGCCAGAAGGTAAGAAGTGATGGAAGAGCCGCGTGGTGGGAACGCCGTCCCCATCTCGGGGACGAGGCAACAAAGACGAAGTCCGACAGGATGCGGGTGCCTGAGCCCACTCCACTCTCCTTGGCACTAGCATCGTCTGGATCGAGTTTTGTTTTATATATGTATATTATATATATATTTATATATATATATGTGTGTTGGGGGGGGGCGTTTGTTTTTTAGCACACTGTCCCATTCTCGGGTCTGGATTTGGGGCAGTTGGTCCTCGGGACAGGTTGGACAGAAGGGGCCAAGGTACAGAAGAACCCCGAGATGAGCGTGAGGCCCAGGCCCCCCCACGCGCAGAACATGGACCATCCGTAGCCATGGCTGATGTCGTCGGGGAGTCCATACAGGTAGCGAGGGTAGCGGGACAGCTCGAAGTTGATCCCGGCCACACAGGTGCACAGTGATATGATGCAGAAGGTTCCTGAAGGGCAGGGGGAGAGACGGGGTGGGGGGGGCAGAGAAGGGAGGGGAGAGGAGAGGAGAGGAAGAGACAAAGAAAGAGTGAGGGTTATCGCAGTTTCAGTGCTCCCGAGTCAGAAGAAAAAAGAAAAGGTCGGGTAGGAGGAACCGGCTCGCAAGTTCAACACCTGGACACAGTCAGCGAGAGGAGAATGTGTTAAAGGATCAAAGCTTCCTTGCTCTCCAGCGACTGCCCGTCTCCGACAAACTGGGGAGGCACCTCCTTTGGGAGAAGACCCAGTAAACGCCCCGGCAGAGTTTCACGCAGCATGGAGGGAGGCAGAGAGCCCTCGGTTCATTTTCCTAAAGCACTTAAAAATCCACTGTCTTTCTTTGGAGACACAGAACGCATCCCCTTGACTACTTCTTCAAAGAGAAAAATAGCTTTATTCGTCTCTTTCTGCAGATAATGTCTTACTACACACTGTTGGGGTTTCCTTCGACCCATCTCTGCCCGCAGGTCGTCGACATCCGGGAAACCCTGTCCTGTTTCCTGCGGGACAGTTCCCCAGCGCAGGGACCCTACGAGAGACACTTTCACAGAGCAGCAGCGGGATCGGCGCCCTCTGGGCGCCCCTACACCCCACCTCTCCCCACGAGGGTTTGCAGCCCAGTGTGTGGACGTTGACTCTTCCAACCTCGTCTCGCGAGGCATTCCGTGGGCTCCCTTCCCATTAGGGCCTCCTCTGTGCAAACACATCACCCCCACGGACCAATGAGAAACCTGCTGTGAAAGACCAGATGTTACAAAGTGCTGCAGGGGTACACACCCATTTTTAACCGGTAGAGCTATGTGGTGTGCCTAAAATGAGTTCAAGAGCTTTTCTCAGTATTTTCTGTACCTTGTGTTTCTTCAGTGGCCACTAACGGAGGCCGTGGCCTGAAGGAGTGTGCACAGTGTGGAAAGGCTGGGTTGGGTTGACGGAAGGCAGAGGGAGGAGGGTATTTTTTAGGGGTCAGGAACAAGAGAGGTGTGCTCTGTTTACATGTATGGAAGACCTCTTGCCTCCAGCCCTCAGGCCCATGAACTTGGGATAATTTAAAGGGCCACAGTTAGGGCCGACACCCATCGGACCTAACATTGTCTAGTGTTGCATGCTAGGAACTGTGCTAAGTGCTTCTCATGTACTGGCCCTTTCATCCTCAAGACAAACCTTTGAAGGAGGTTATGTTATTATTGCCACTTTACTGATTGAGGCACTTGAGGCCCCGAGAGCTTAAACCGCTCGCCCAACATCACACGGCTGGAAACTGGGAGTGCCAGGCCGGGAACTCAGGCAGGCCAGCTCCAGAGTTGACGGTCTTTCTTCTGTGCTATTCGGGACGGGGCTCACGCAAGGTGGGACCCGCCATGGGTCCCCTCCGTTGCACCCCCGGGTTCCACATGAATTCTGTATTGCTCGGTCGAGGGTAAGGTCGTCTGGGTCCCAGAGGCACGTCGAGGCTGACTGGTGGGCCCCCCACCTCCGCAGTTTTGGGTTCAGAGGGTCTGGGTGTGGCTGGAGAATCAGGGTTTTAACAAGGTCCTGGGTGATGCAGATACCGCTGGTCCAACGACTGCACTTGGGAACCAGTGGGTCAGGAAGAAGGTTTTATTGGGCAAAGATGAAACTTAATGGCCCAAGGTTCCGATCACAGAGGAAGAAACACAAATGGGCAATAAATGTGAAAAATGCTCAATTTCACCAACAACCAGAGAACTAAAATTAAAAGCATCGTCATAGACCATCATCTATCAAGCCAGCAAAGTTTTTTTAAAAATCTAAATCTATATTTTTGCTTTGCTTTGTTCCTGAGTGACCAGCCCCGAAGCGGGTAAGGGAGCAGTGAAAGGGCCTGTCGCACAGACTCTGGGGAGGTCTTTGTGGAGATACGCGTTCCTCTGACGCAGTGACCGCGTTCCAGATTAAGCAAATGGTCCTGCCTGGAAACAGAGACGCAGATCGGAGCACGTTCAGGTGCCGAGGCTGTGTCGGAGGCGTGGCTGTCGGAGCAGGGCTCAGGGCGAGCCCCGGATATTGGGGCGAACACTGCTCTCTGGGCTCTGAGGGTGGAGCTCTCCGGGCAGGGCCTGCAGGGGGTGGGGTACTTTGGTGTCTCCGATCTGCATCACCAAAGACCACTGAGTTCCAGGCAGGTGGAGAGGACAGTGCAGAGGTCAGTTAGGCCACTGCAGTCATCAGGGAGTAGGGAGGAGGGGCTGCAAGGCGGGGACAGAGCAGGGGTGAATGACTGTTGAGTGAATGGTTGCTTGGAGAGGCCACTGAAAGCCAGGCATCAGGGGTGACCTGGGCAGAGGGGCTGCATGAATGTAGGTGTGCATACATACATGTGTGATGTGTGCACATACATATGTGTGCAGTGGTGCTCAGGTGTGTATGAACGTGTGTGTGTGTGCGCTTGTGTACAGGCAAGTGTGTAGGGACAGCTGCGGTGCGCAAACACATAGGGCACCATCATTACTCGGGAGAACAGTGGTCCTAGACTTGGGGGAGTTACGAAGCACCCCAGGGCCCTCCTGCTGGGCACTGGGCTTCAGACAGAATTCCACAGATGGTACCCAGGCCAGATTAGGTCTCACCCCAACTTTCTGAATCACAATCTCTTGGGGGGGGTTGGGAGGGGTGCAGGGGAGAGGGCAGGAGTCTTCCTTTTAAAAGTTCCTTGATGATTCCTGCTGACCGGCCGGGTGAGGCCCCAGTGCTGGGGCTGAGGCCCTGCGGATAGCCCTGACACACAGATCCAGGAGGGGAAGGAAGCAGAGGGGGGCAGAGGGAGGAGCAGCTGCGGAGCAGAACAGGGAGAGAGAGAGAGAGAGAGAGAGAGAGAGAGAGAGAGAGAGAGGGAGAGAGGGAGAGAGGGAGAGAGGGAGAGAGAGAGAGAGAGAGAGAGAGAGAGGGACTGCCCGGGAGTGCGATAGCTAACATAGCTTCATTTTGACATCAGCTTCAAATCCCAATTTCCAACAAACCCGGGCTGGCCTGCTCGGGCCTCGAGAACGCTTTCTGTTCCTTTGGAAACCTGGGCACGCGACGAGTGACATTATTTACTAAAGTTTAGACGCAGGGCAGGAAGGGAGTGTGCGCGCGCACTCGCTGGGTCAGATCTGGGAAGCGAAGGCCCCTGGGTCGTGGATCTGGGGTCTGATGGAAGGTTCTGCGCTGGAGAGGCGGGCTGAGCCATCTTTTTACAAATCAAAGCTCTGGATGGGAGCGAGGGCACCCAGGGACTTTCTATGAACTGGGTGTTCAGAGGGGGGTTTAAAAAACACCTTTTCAGGGACAGGTGTACGCTATTCCTGAGTAAGCCCAGGGACCTGTCCTGGGAAGGGAGGTCGACCTCAAGCAGGTTTCGACCCTCCCGGGTAGCCTGCGGCTGGCACAGCGGGATGTGCACCCTTCAACGGTGCAGTCTGCCAGCGGGTGCACAGGACACGCAGGGTATCGCAGTGAATCAGGAGGGAAGAGAAAGGGTCCTCTGTGGGCCTGCCCGCCCACTGGAAACGGCCCCACATCCTGACAGCTTGCATCTGGTCGTTATGTTAATGCAGTTAATTGAGGGATCTTCCTGCCTCCGCTTCCTGTCAGTCCTGAGAACTTTAAACGCTTTTAGAATTTCTTTGGTTTGTTAGCTTTGCCCCCGTTTTCCACAGAGG